AACCAAAAAAGCTTATCTAACTTTACCAATCCTAAACTCAACTATCTTAAATCTTTTAAAATTAAAATCTTGCTTAACAACTTACCTATACACTTCTACTATTACTCTATACTTCCCAATTTATTCTTATTCTCTAACTGCTTTCAATGCAACCTTCATGACTCTTCATCTCACTGGTACACCTGTTCTAATCACAATCAACTAACTCAAATTATTAACTCCTGCATTGATGAAACTATTTCCAAATTCAATCTCAATCTCTCTCTACTTGAGCTTAACTATCTGAAACATACTATTTTCTCTCACCTATCCTTCTCTTTTTAGCCTTCTTCACTCTATCCATACTCTCTCCATTCTACTCTTAAAGGTCTTATCCCTATTTTACTTATCCAATCTATACAAACCTTTGATATATCATACTCTCTTGCTTCACAGCTTATTATTCAAACTCTTCTTAAAATTTCTAACTAACTCTATAACCAAATATGAAAAACATATTGTATTAACTTTTCTACATGAAAAAGAATACACTAAATCCCTTCTAATCTCTCTCATAACCAACCTTCTTATCTATGCCACTCTCATACTTATAATAGAACTAGAAACATCTTTACTTATAATTGCCTGTGTAATACTCCAGATCAACTTCACTTTGATTCAAATACCTGTCCTCCTTCTGGGCTTGCTAACCATAAATTTGATATCTGGTCTACTATGTGAACCAAATACAACACCCCTATTATTTATATCTTAACTATCCAAATCCAGGTGAGCTTTAACCACTCTAGTAGGTTTAGGTCGCAGATAATTAGTTTGACATATAGTCTAAGCTTTTAGTCTGAGCTTTTATTCTTGCATGTAATTTATATTTATTTGTTATTATACAAATTAAGTTCTTCATAAATTTTATGTAATTACTTATATAAATTACTTAATAAAGATATAAGCAAGGCCTCACTTTAAAAAAAAAAAATAAAATAAAATTTATATCAAGACTTATTAAATACATTCCAACATACCTTATATTCAGTAAGTACTTGCAACTAAATACTTAGCAAGTACTTGACAAGTACTTTATAAGTACTTGGTTATACTTCGTGATGAAGCTCAAAAAAAAAAAATCACACAGTATTTGAAAATTGACTATGAATAATCATAGCCGTTTGTAACTGAACCCATCCCTAGAAGAGATAGAGCCTAATTACACTATGAGGTCCTTGCATTGCTACCGCAGCCGCGGAGCCTAATTGCAATGTGAGACCCTTGTACTGCTATTATAGTTGTGGATCCTATAAAAATAAGTTAAAATTCTATTTAGATTTCTTGTTCAGATTATTATTTTAAATAATGAGTACTTTCCGTAATAAAAATTTGAACTTTTTTTTATAGGGGGCTCAATCACTAAACATGAGGTTCTTGCATTACCTGCGGCAGCCATAGTGTCTAATCACATGAGTATAGTTGCCGTCTAAATAATTATAACCATTGGTAAATTGGATATATCTGAAATTTTGTCCCAAATCCCAATTCATACAGTAAGTTTTGGACAAGTTCCACGGCTTTAACTAGTCTCAAATAGTGGTTAATATCCTAGACAGTCCCAAAGTCCCAAACCAATTAGGTTTGGACAGCAACTATACACATGAGGTCCTTGCACTGCTATCGCAGCCATGGAGCCTAATCACAATATGAAGTCCTTGCACTGCATAATACAATATCAGATATAGTACACTCATCTCTAACTCCCTTTAAACAACTCAAGCGCCTAGTTAAATTAAACATTTTTTTTTTAGCCCGTTAAATTCGGTAATCGTACAGCTCAATTCGAAATAAATATTCACAAAAAGAATGTGAAAGTAAAATGTCAATATGAGATAATAGATGATCAGTACCAAGAACACTTTTATCTTTCAAACTTGATTCATATTCTTTTTAGACAAGCAAAGCTAAATATTGTTTCTAGTAGTTATTAATCAGTTCATAATTGTAATACATGGCTAATTTTATTTTATTCATGTAATTTTTTAAATAGCTTTTTCTAATTAATATCAAGTGATATAAATATCCTACATCAATGTTTAAATTAACTAATTAAATAATTAATAAAGAGTCATTATTTTTCCACACCCTTTTTTGATATTTCAACACCCATATGTAAATTATATATATATATTTTTTTAACTTTGGTCGAAAGTAATTCGACGCCAACACAACCAAATTCGATGAAATTTTTTATTTGAATTCTTCGGAACTGTAGAATTCAAATAAAAAAAAAAATTCTGTGGGTGTCGAGATACCTTTGATCAAAGTCGAGAAAATTTTGCCGCAGCTAATATTTTGAGAAATCTCTTGAATTTGATTGAAGGTATCTCGACAACTACCAAACCAAATTTGATGAATTTTTTTTTATTCAAATAATAACCGACTTGGTCGAGTGGTTGTTGAGATATCTTTGATCAAAGTAAAAAATTTTGACGTCTAAATTTTTAAAATTTAGATCGAAAATATCTCGACAACCACCCGACCAAATTTGATGACATTTTTTTTATTTGAATTCTCAGGAACAGTAGAAATCAAAAAAAAAAAAAAATACATCAAATTTGATTTGGTGGGTGTCGAGATGCCTTCAATCAAATTTAAGAAAATTTTTAATCATTATTAGCTGCGGCAAAACTTTCTTGACTTTGATCGAAGGTATCTCGACACCCACAGAATTTTTCAAATAAAAAATTTATCGAATTTGGTCGTGTGGGTGTCGAGTTACTTTCAACCAAAGTTAAAAAAAAAACATGATTTACATATTGGTGTGGAAATATCAAAAAAGGGTGTGGAAAAATCATGGCCCTCAATAAACATATATTTATATTTATATAATTAGAGTTAAGCGTGCATTTATAAATAAAATACAACGTTTATAAAATTATTAAAAGCTTTTTTAAACGTGTGACTTAGCTGCAGAGTAGAATTGTTAAAGTTTTAGAATTGGATCATTGGATTTTATTGGTACAGCTATAAACAAGTTTATTTTTAAAAGCTATAAATCAATTTACTTTAATACACAGATTAAAATACAAGGTACATGTCGATGTGAATGATTACTGTAATACACGCATCACATCGGGTATTTTGGTCAACGAACTATGGGGATTGATTTTATTTTTTTTTTTAAATGTTGATTTTATTATATTACTTATAAAGTTTCTTTTTTTCGTTTCTTTTTTTTTAGTTCTATATTCAAATACATTTATCTTGATAAATTTTAGGTTTTACATAGCTACTGTAAATATAATATGGTGCATTCATAAACCACAAACTCTATTACATATAAGACTTTGATGGCTGACGCTAAAAGTTAAGGAAATTTCAAGTTATTACAGTTAACTATTTTGAGAAATCCAAATGCACATGGTATTTTTTACACGTACTGTACGCACGTGATACTGCTCGTATTAATCCTAATTTGTAAATATTAAAAAGTATTGTGCATCTATTTTGTTTTCAGACGTTTTGTTCTTATATTTAAAAAGAATGGATTCCAGTTACGTCAGCTCAGTTATAATTATAATCATGGAATCGGTGTTGAAAAGATAAGAAACTTTTGAATATTAGCTGAATTAGGAAACGTAGATTGATTTGATTACGTACATTTTGTGTAACTTAGTCTGTGTAACATAAATGATGCCAATTCTAAACTATGCGCGATTATACAAGTTTTTTAAATATGCAAAATCGCATAATTTATATGTTACAAGGGTAGAACGGGCGCCACCGGCACCCCTGCTAAATAACATCAGCAAATTTTAAGATTTTCTTAGTAATAAATAGATATTTAATATCTTAATTATAATAACTATTGGATTACAAAAAGTAAACGGAAATAACTTAGATCACACAAAGTTGATTTTTCATTACATAGATTTCAAAATCCCCGGTCGGTCAGTCGGATTTTTTTTTTAACTACAGTAAATTAATAGATTCTTGTTCACATTTAAGGTCACATAAAGTTAATTTTTTGCTTTGCATAATATGAAATCAGAAAATTGGTCGGTGGTCAATTTTTTTATCAGTTCTATTGGATAATTCCAGAAAAATTGTGGACACCGGATTAATTTTTGAAAAGAATTATATGACAAAAATAGAATAATTGGCACAATTGGGACTTAAAATATATATATTTATTTAGAAATTCTGAAAATATGGGTTGTCGAGTAATGCAAAACGAAAAAATTAACTTTGTGTGGCCTTATACACTAAAATAAATTAAGATGAATAAGTGATATGTTTGATGTAAAGAGTTTAATAAAATACTGCAATATGTGATTAAAGTTTGCATTAAAATTTTCATGGTTTCTACTATGAGTTACGTAAAAATTTTGTAACATTTACCTGCTAGTATGATAACCATGATGTGATTGAGGTTGAATTAGCTTGCATAAGAATTGTTTTAATTTTATGTGGTTAAACCTGAGTTAGTTTGTAGTGAAGTCATCATTTCTTCATAAAGAATTTTGTTGCAAAGCCTCACTATTTTTGTGTCTATTGTATGTGATTAAGGTCGAGTTAGTTTGCATTGAATTATCATATTAGAATTATTGTGATCTTTACCATGAGTTACTGAAAAAAATCTATATAAAGACTCACTGTTTGGTGACTACAGTACTAGTTAAAGTTGAGGTAGGTTGCATTGGAATTGTTTTGCATTTTCTGTGGTTGAGCTGGCTTGCATTAGAATCCTCACAATTTCTATCGCGAGTTACTGTAAACATTTTGTTGTTACAGAACTTGCTATTCTGGTGATGATGAAAAGGTGAATTAGCTTGTATCGGAATTATCATAATTGTTTTCATGAATTATTATAAAAAATACTGTTACAAATCTATCAACACATAATACGCAGTTAAGGTTGAGATTGTATTAAAATTAATGTGATTTATTTATATCATAAATCACTGCAAAAAAATTTCATACAAAACTTTGCTCGCTATTCTAATAATCACAAGATGTGGTTAAATTGATTTTCGTTGGATTTACAGTGTAAAATATTCTGTAGCAAACCTTACTATTCTGGCGATACACATTTCATGACTCACTAACGCATGTTATTAATGTTATCCATATCTCAGTCCATTTAATATCAACAAAGTGCATATAACGAACGAAAATTAGTTTTAAAAAAAAACATAAATGACTGAGGGTGTGAATAGTATTTACGTTTCAATTTTCATACATTGATTATTAATTTACAAATCCCGAATTATGACGATCCTGTACGACATCAATTATGCAAACGATCTAAATGTCGCAATAATTACAGTTTTTATAAAGTTAGCTGATTTAACACAACCAATCAAATTTCATAAAGTTTACATCGGCATGACCAAGCATTATTTTATAATATTTGGATTGGATGGATGGATGGATAAGGTGATTTATGCCAATATTATTCCTGATCATAATCCTGGACACTCTAGTTCGGAGTAACAACGGGCATGAATGACCTTAAAGTCTTGTGACTAGTTTGCAAATTATTACAGTTAACTATAAATCCAACGAACTCTTCGAGCACAAAATCACGCATATAGTAAAGATCGGTAAAATCGGTAAACAAAACTGTAAACATGCATATAGTATTTTTACTACGTAGTACTGCATGAGTTTGTATATATCTTCGTTTTTTCGGACGGGTTTGTTCTCATGTTTAAAAAAAAGAATTCCAATGAGTTTTATCAGCTCGGTTATAATTATCATCATGGAATCGGAGTTGAAAAAGATGTGAAGAAAGCTTTTGAATATTATATGAATGCTGCTATATTAGGAAGCGCAATTGCGATTTATGAGGTTGGTATTTGTTATGATAATGGAATAGGAGTTGAAAAAGATGAGAAGAAAGCTTTTGAGTATTATATGAAATCTGCCGAATCAGGAAATGCAGATGCAATTTATAATGTTGGTTCTTATTATCAAGATGGAATTGGTGTTGAAAAAGACGAGAAGAAAGCTTTTGAATATTATATGAGATCAACTGAATTAGGAAACGAAAATGCAATTTATAATATTGGCTTTTGTTATCATCATGGAATCGGAGTTGAAAAGGATGGCAAAAAAGCATTCAAATATTATAAAAAAGTCGCAGATATGAATAATGCTAATGGAATATTTGGAGTTGGCGTTTGTTACTATCATGGAATTGGAGTCAAAAAAAATTATCATGAAGCATTCAAATATTATATGAAATCTGCAAATATGGGTCATTTTCGTGCAACGTGTAACGTCGGTGCATGTTATTATAATGGAGAAGGGGTAGAAAAAGATGATAATAAAGCATTTGAATATTCTAAGAAATCTGCTGATATGGGTTATATTCATAGTATGCATAATGTTGCTTATTGTTATCGTAACGGTACCGGAACGCAAAGAGATATTCAGAGTGCAAATTATTGGTATAGAAGATACAGAAGTCTTTTGAAAATTGATAAGAAAACTTATAAATCACTAGATATCGATCCAGAACTTAAACAAGTATTAGATGATGATAAATATAAATTATCTTGGATCGATTACCGTGAATTTAAAGACATAAGTGAGGTTGGAAAAGGCAGTTTTGCAACAGTATATTATGCACTTTGGAATGATATTATTAATTATAGTTGGAATCATGTTGCTCTCAAAGTGATTCGCGGATCGTGCAATAAAGTTAAGGATTTTGTTAACGAATTGAAGAATCATTGTGATATCAGTTATGAAAATCCTTCTTTTTTGCAATGTATTGGTATATCAAAAAACATCGATTATATTATCGTAATGAGATATGCCGCTAAAGGGTCTTTACGTGAAAATCTTGAGCAAGTATCAAAGATGAGTTGGAAAGATAAATTGAATATTTTGTACTGTATAGCTTTGGATCTCGAATCCATTCATTCTCAGGAACTCGTTCATGGTGATCTACACACTGGAAACATTCTTCAAAATGAATTAGATAACGCTTATATCATAGATCTTGGTCTTTCGGGAAGAAATAAATATAATGTAAATTACGGAACTATTGTTTATGCATCTCCTGAAATTTTACAAGGTCTAACATATACGAAATCATCAGATATTTACAGTCTCGGGATCATTATGACAGAAATATCAACTGGAAAAAGAGCTTTTGATGGAATTCCACTTGATAATGAACTTCTAATTAAGATCGTTAATGGAACAAGACCTGAATGTACTCATGCTCCAGAACCTTATGTTAAATTAGCTAATAGTTGCATGAATAATGATCCTTATGAACGACCAGCTGCTACTATAATTGTTAACGAAGTGGCTCGTTGGTTAGATGAAATAAATCGAGATGGTAATAAATTAAAAATCAAATTTTAGAATCGATAAATTTAAGCCAGAACTGGTCAACCAAAACACCCGATTTATTATTATTCTAGTAAATTAATAAACAATTGAATAATTCTACTGATATTTCCAAGTCATTTCATAATTCTGATAATATTAATCATAACTTTAAATGGCTACTATATTAATTTACGAAGCAGGGCGAAGTAGCTTCAGTCCAGACAATAGACGAAACAACATTTTCAGTACAATCTCAAATGTCCAAAATAGGATCATATCTTAATATACATTTTGTTTAATGGCTTCCAAAAAGCCTTAATCTATGGGTTAAATGTGTTGGAAATATGTCGGAAATTAGATTTTAATTAGCGTAAAGTATAATATTTTTTTAACTGATCAAACGTACTTTGTCATTAAGATAAACCAGAACAATCATGTGGCAGCTTCGCCGCCTGAGTTAATGAACATGCTTTTACATACTAGTAAATTAACGTTGTTAACCTTGAATACCTCTCGGAAACAAGGTTAACGGAGTAACCGATAATAGGGTCACATGAGCACAGAGACATAAAACTGTGCAGTGGTTTATTACAGTTGTTTGAATATTTACAAGCGAGAGGGTTTAAATATTTATACAGTGAGTTTGCAGTACAAAAGAGTGTGATGTATTTTATAGAATCGAATAGAGTGTATCTTTTGTTTATTATAAAGAAAATGCTATGGCATGCATGCTTACAAAGTGGAGCGAAAGTCGTCCGTACAGTATATATAAGTAAATGTCTGCCAATAAAAATATATAACATTTATGCCACTACTTCTATTTATGCTATTCTCCGATATCATCCTCTTATGCCATTTCTTCTCGAAACGCCCTCTATGCCATAAATGGCTCATATGACAGAAATGGGTTACGGGTTAACTTCCCGAAATTAACATTACTGAAATACCATTTCACCGAAGCCATAATACTGACATCATATTTTACTAATTCCAAAGTCTCATTACTGAATATCATTTAATTGATAATAAATTTTACTGTTAAGTCATTTATCTGCAATTTTCATTTCACTGAATATTAAAAAGATGAATGTTTATTTTACTGACATTCATTTACCCGAATGGTACATTCTATTTTTTCGAAAATATATTATTGAAAGCTCTTTTACCGAAGGATGTTTTACTGAATTTACAGCTATTTTATAAATTCTGGGTCACCTGATAACCCGAAAAAAAGGTATAAACTAATTGGCGACAACCATCTCACTGGAAGCCTTTTCAACGACAAAGTTAGCCTTGTTTACGCTGAGTTAGCCTGATTATGCAATTTTGACCAATCGAGAAGACGTCTTGTTTTAAATTTCCTTTTGAGAAATATCTTTTCTGGAAAACATCTTTCGGAGAAACAACCTTTCGGGGAAATATAACAAAATATTTTTCGGTGAGGATTCGGAAAAAAGGTTTGTCTATAGAACAAAAGTTCTGAGAAAGGGTTTTGTCGGTGAAAAAGTCTGTCGAAAAAAATTTTTCAGATATTCAGGCTGTCGGGAAATTGGTTATTTCGAATAAAAAAAACTTTGGTAAAGTTTTCTATCAGTAAAATATACTGTCAGAAATATGTCTTATCGTGAAAAGGGGATATCGAAATTATGGGTGGGGGAACGGTTTTGGGAAAGTGAGAATTAACGCTTTAAAAGTCTACTCTGGTTAATCATTTCAATATCATATAAAGGTAACAAAAATATTTCTACACCTAAGGACTTGGCTTATAATTCAAAAACTTACTAATTAATTTTGGCCTTGATTTATTTATCTAAATCTATATCTCTCTGTGATAATGTGATGTCATTTTTTTAAATCATATATTTGCATACTAGTTTAGTGATAAAAAATATTCAATAGAAATATCGGGGTTCTGCAACTCATTGATACTCTGGAGATTAAAATTTTCAAATGAAACTTTAATTGAATTATTAATTTCAGATATATCTTTAAGATTTACTGATTTGAATTTTGATATTTTGAATCGTGTAAAATTTGTCCTGAGAATGTTACGCCATAGTTCAGAGTCACGAAAAATGTCAATCATCATACAATAAAAAGTATCAAGGAGGTTTTTTTATATAAAATTTTCTTGAAAAATTTCAAAAGAATTTGAAGAAAATAATGAACTAATTCTCTAAAATGTAAAAATATCAAAGAATTTATTATTTATCAATACTTTTATTTCAGATTTAATTTTACTAACCGCTATGTCTTTCCATTTTTGAATTATTTTTTTTTTGTGCTTCTTGAGTCCTTTGTATAATAACCATATGATGCTCTTCTATCATATTATTGACAAGTTTCTTAAAATCGTTAAGTTGTACCAAATCATCACATGACTTAAGTTCCAGGAGAAATCTTCCAGATGCAAAATTCATTAAATTTTGAACTATTTGATATTAATTTAAGTCAGAATATATAATTATATGATTATATTTGTACACTTAAAATAAACTATCCATTGTCGCTGCTTTTGTCATCTTCTTCGCGATGGGCAACATCTGCCCAAAAATATAGGACACAACTATTTTGAGCCTCGAATTCAAATAAATAGATATAATAGTTAGTCAAGCCAGTTTATATGTAATCTATTTAATAGTGCTTTTTATTCATAATTAGCTAGACAATTAGTCCTACGAACTACGTGAAAAAAAATTCAGGGCGAGTTAATGGCCTGATCACTAAAAACTTGCTGAAAGCAATCAATATATGAAAAAAATTCAGAGCAAATTAATGGTCCGATTCAAATATCATTGCAGTGAACAGGTTGTAATTTAGATACATGATCAATATCTTATTAAAAGCATTTGATCAAATTAATTGATAAGGACATAATAAACAGAATTTAAAATTTATAAGGAAGCTTATTGTTTTACACCACGAGCTTAATCATTATAAATTTAATTTGTAAGAATCTTATCTTCCCTTACATTTTCTTTAATGCTTCTTAACTGCTTTTTATCGAGGTAGCTCGTGTATTCATATTGACGTTTTATATCAGCTGATTGTTTACTAAGTGATGATATAATTTTTTGTATTTGCGTATAAAAAGTTTCATGTGCTAATTTTTTATGACAAGAACGGATTCCATTTCTTGAGATCTCTTGAGTATGATACAAGAATCCTTCGAGTCTTGGTAGAGAAGGTTTAGAAGTATTGATATAAGAAATAAAAGATTCGATAAAAAAAATTTCATTTAACGTATCCATAATAACAAGTAGAAAGGACAGATACGTCAATATATGTTATATATTTTGAGTTCAGTACTGTACATTGTTCGATTTGCTATTGATTACCACATATCGTTACACTAGCTACGTTCATATTACGACCTGGCTCGGCTAATAATGCCCGATACTGACAACAAGTGCGACCAATCAATTCCCGACAAATACCTACTTCTTTTTTTAGTAATTTCAATATAAAAGATCCGAATACTATGCACGATTTATAATATATAGTACCTCTATTACAGTAACACTCAATATAGTACCCGGATATAGTTAAATATTTTCTTATACCCCCGGGTAGAGCTGGGATCCGTGAATTTCCACGGTCAAAAATGAATATTCAATTACTGAATTAAAAGTGAATATTTGGTTACACAAAATTCACGAATATTTAAGGATTAGAGTATTATTAGTTTTTTACACGGAATTCGTGAATATTCGAGATGAATAATCTAAGATTTTACTATTACGTGAACATTCATATAAAATTTGAATATTCATTCAATATCATTCGTGGATGGCAAAAACCCGTGAATATTCATTGAATAGTCATAATGGATATTCAACGGATCCCAGCTCTACCCCCGAGTATTTTATTCCACAAAATACGGTAATAATAGATTTTTTTATCAAATACATTAAGATAAATGCTTGAGAATGTCCCTATATTAATTTATGAATGGATATAAATATTTTTTATTAATTAAAGTAACTATTTAAATTTAGAATGACTTTAATTTTACTTATTCACATTTGATTATTATTACATTTAAACCTGTTCAACATTATAAATATTTCACAGTATATCTTATTTTAAGTTAATTGATAAGATTAATTACTATTATAATTAATCTTTTAAATTTATCTTTTTGATTTAATGAAAACAAAAAAAAAAAATTATGGCTCTTACTTAGATATATTTTATATCATTTACTAATCGATGTATTTTATGATAAAATCCAAAATTTAGAAATAGTGTAGTATTAATATGATACAGTAATTTTTCTTCCATTAAATTACAACAATATCAATATTCATGTTTCGTGCTACGCTAAACTAAAATACCTAATGACGATAAGAATTATTGGAGAAAAAAGTATAATTAAAATTGTTAATATTAATTCCTATTCACTTGTCGGTTCTGATCAGTTCATTGACAATTATTTTATCGAATGTTCATTTAGCCGACATCAAGTTATCATTTTATTAGTTGCAGGTATATGTTTTTTAGCAAAATATCACTTATTTAATGTCGGTCAAATGAGCTGTTGGTGGAGTAATTTATAGAACATTGGTACAAGCAAAAAAAGTGCAGACTAGTTTCTCTAATAAAAAAGTATCTTTTGATGTTAAGGTTAAGGTTAATGTTAGGATGACATTAAGAAAGCGTTGTATACCAAATCTTGCAAGGAATGGTTTTTATTAGAACGCAGAAAGTGACTTTTATGCAAAATAGAGCTTTGGGCGATTTTTTGAACGAATCTGACTATTTATTCCACGTTATAACTGATCCTGTGTCTTGAATGGTGAAATCACGGGACTGCAAACTTTTTATGCAGTAGCTATGCTAGATCTCAAATTTAGAAAAAAAACAAAAAAAAAATAATAATGGTAATAAAATAAAAAAAATTATATCCAAACACAAGAAACACCAATTATTTAATTAATTAATTCACATTGCGATGTTATTACATACAGTATATACTCCACAATAAGTTCTATAAAAAGATTTTTTTTTTTTATAAGCTAACAATAAATTAATTAACTACCGTTATGTATTTATTTACTTATTTATGCTCGAAGACATCTTATTTAAATTAATTACAGGTATGTACGTTATTATTTTATTTACTTTTTTATGCTTAAAGGCAATACTTAATTACGTAGTATAATTCAATTATAAAAGTATAAATATCATAAAAATTCTGTCTTTTAAAACATAAACAGAAATATGCTCTGTCCGGGTAAAAATTTTGTTGGTGGTATAACATGGTATTCACCTAGTTTTACGCAACCGGGTGAATTTAAATTTTGTGAAGAATGTTATAACCAATTCATCAGAAACACACCTTTAAGCGTATATATGCGAAATGATGGAATTCAAATTGCCACTTGTGACTTTTCACCCAGTATAAAACAGCGATGGTTCATGTCTGTAAGCGAAAATAACATAAATATATTTATTCAGTATGTTGAGCCAAAATTAAGACGTACTCGTGATGTGCGATCTCGTCTATTCCAATTACAAGCCCTTAAATCCTTAGAATCAGAACGAAGATCTGCATTAGTAACCTCACAGTTAAGTCGTCGTGGGCGAGGTTATGCTTTAGATCTTCTGTCTGATAGTGTACCAGAATATTCCGTTAATCGTCGATTTTATCGCGGCCACAATTCTGGTGAAGTTGCTCAATTGCAAATCCAAATCGATGAATCTTATAGAAAATATAATAGTTATGTCGAGGAAACGACATTATTAGAACATGAACTTGCCAACTTATGGTATAATAATTAATACCTTTCTTTTCCAGTTTATAATCTATTATTTCTTTTAACTTGTTCTTAAGTGTGAATACAGTATGTTTTATTTATATAGTTAAAAATACTGTATATCTCATATTCATACGTATTTTCTTGCTAAAATTCAAAAATATTTTGACAAATTTATTACGTACATACATAAATATTTACATTTAGATTAATTAGTTTAACGAATTGAGCGATAATTTATTAAGAGATTAATTATTTTTTCAAACTTTGTGATTTTTTCTAATACACATATATATATTTAGAGGATTCAGTTGGTTTTTTAAGAAATTGATGTTATTATTGGCCCAGGGTAATTTGTTATAGAGTGTTGAAACTGTTTTTTACTTGTGAGAAATAAATTTTTAAAGATTTAAGATAGCACTCCTTTGAATAAATTTATCAATTCTCATATTCCATCATCACGAACTTCGAAAGTCCATATATTTACGTAACATCACATAGATGACAATAAAATTACGTAGTTGTTTGATATACATTTATGTAAGTAAAAAGCCACTTAAAAATTTATATAAATTTAAGTTTCTTTTTTGTGTAGTGTTACTGAAGGTCCGTAGAATGCATAAATATTTGTAAGATATTATATAATTTCATATAATTTCATGTAATTTCTTACCTAGTAATTTTACAAAAAAATGTATGATGTTTGTCAGTCTTGGCCGCTCAATAAACACGTGAAATATCACTTAATTCATCAGAAATCGTAAAATCACCTAAATATCAATTGATAATTAGAACTTTTAAAAACAGGATTCAATAAATATCTGATAAAAAAATTGATTGGTTCTAAAAGTTTTTAAGGTCAAGTAGTTTATTTGTAAGTTCATCTTTAGGAAAATACTTTTAATATTGTTAATTCATTTTTATATTTTGTAGCATTATGATCCACAATATTATATCATGATAATTTATTTAAATTATATTCTGGTAATATATCAAGATCGCAAGGTATAAATCAGTTATACACTGGGTTCTATGTGTTTAAACGTAAATTTTATTTCCGCTTTAGCCATGCCACCCAGTATATACTATTACATAGCACTCAGAAGTGCTTTCAGAAATCATACTCAGTATCATATTGAGGTGTCCTTCCATAGAAAGTTTAGGCATAATAATATCAAAACTATAAATATTTGCCTCTATTATACAGTATATATAATTATTTAGTTGACAATTCTGGGTACTTAAGATAAATTTTAACATAATACTTTGTTCCTTGTAAAAGTCAACAATATTAACTATATGAGTGTTTTTTTTCCTGCTACCATTTGAGTGAATAAGCTATAAAAGTAGAATTAGATAAGTTTTTTTTTTATACGTTATTAAAAGTATGCGATAATTATGATTTTAAATATTTAAATCCAGATTTAACTACTTTTTTTTATTAGTAGGGCTTCGGTATTTTGAAATAGGTGTCTTAATTTGATTTTAGGCTTCGTCAATTTGAATTTAGGTTTTGTCTAAATTCTTTCTTGAAATTGGAATTCACTTGTCATTTTGTAATATTTTTGCTGGTAAGAAGCATCAAACTTCTGAATCACTTATGTAAAAATTTTATATCGCAAAATTTTTGATCTGTATTTTACTCTTTAGATTTTTTTTCACATTAACCAGTTTGTCATTATGAATGCAGTATTATAAATTTGGTGATTATATTTACGAAGTTCAATTTTGCAATTATTATTCATTACTTGTAGAAGGAATATGTCGAACGAAGCTTTTTTAGAGACGATCCTTTATCATTGTCAATAAATTTCAATAAGTTTATTGTTCTTTTGCTATGTATAGATTAGAGTTTGGCAACGAACCCTTTTTTGCCAAATCCGAAGTTCGGATTTCGGATTATAGTTTCCGAAATCTCATCCAAAACGCGAAATCCTATTTGAAATCCCGAAACTGTTATAATTTAATATTTGTTCGTTCTTACTAATTATGATCAGGCTAATATACTGGTAGCTATTTCGTATATCTGTAATATCGAGAATTAATTTTAGTATAGTATGCTTATAGATCGATTCTAAGGCCGAAACAATTAAATTAGGGGTTTACATTACCCTCCTTAGTAAAAAATTTTGGATATATATATGATTTTGGCCTGGGAACATAATGCTGGGCAAAATTAAGATCAGAATCCGAAAAATTCCGATGAGAAAATGAGCGAACATTAAAAACGAGCAAGGTCATGCCGATATTTCCGATTAAAAAATTCTATTAAAATTTATTATGTTGTTTTATTTTGAGAATGTAATGTAACCACCGAATTTAAATCCTAACCCTGAATATGGTATTGATATAAATGTATAATACGTAAATTTAGCTATTAATAAATATGAAAGATTTTTTTGCATATAGTAATAATATAAAACGAATAAATAATTAGGATAGATATAATTGAAGTTAATTCTACAATAATAACGGATCTTTTATAGTATAGGTGGGCAAATAAATTTATGTGTAATTTTGTGCTGAGAACTTTTACTTAGTACACAAAGTTTTGTTCTCTTAGTAAAATATTTTGGCATCAAGTTTTACTTTTGTTTTAGGTACCCAAAATCCTGCAATCTGATTGGATGCATAGTTTTCGAGGTTTCGGATTTTTTTAAAAAATCCGGATCTAAATTTCGGACTAGGACCTTTCGGAAACTAGTTTCGGGTAGGTTTCGTTGCCCAATCTAGTAAATTTTTACGGAACAATCCCAAAATTTCGTGTGAGATTGCTAAGCATGTATTAAACAAATACTAGCCAATCAAGTCGATAGTAAATATTACGATTTATTAAATTTTGGATAAGTTACACTAATATACAAATATGCATGCAGACAGGCAGGAAATTTTCCAAATACACGTTTTCAAAACGCAACTATTGGTATATCTTTTTGTATCACTTTGATCAAATATTAAATGCTCTCCGCTACGTTCCGGACAATTAAAGTATATATTTTTACTTAGAACATGAAACTATTTTCATTCTTTAGAAAAAAAAAAGACTCTATTCAGCTTCGTACACTTGGTTACAATTATCAACATGCTATCGGTGTTAAAAAAGACGAAAAAAAGGCTTTTACGTACTATTTGAAAGCAGCGGATTTAGGAAATCCGGATGCAATGAATGATGTTGGTCTTTGTTATCTTTATGGAATTGGAATAGAAAGAAATTACCATAAAGCATTTGAATATTATAAGAAATCTGTTGATTTGGATAATGTTTATGCAATATGTAATGCTGGTCATTGTTATGAAAATGGATTCGGGGTTGATCAAGATTATAATAAAGCGTTTAAATACTATGAAAAATCTGCTAATATGGGTATTATTACAGCAATGAGTAACGTTGCTAAATTATATCGAAACGGTATCGGCACAAAGAGAGATATACAGAAGGCGAATTATTGGTATACAAAATATAGAAATCTTTTGAAAACTAATAAATCACCGGATCATATCAATACTGAACTTAAAAAAATATTAGACGATAAGAGATTTAAATTATCTTGGATAGATTATAATGAATTCAAAGATATGTGGGAAAAGGGAAGAGGAGGATTTGCAACAGTATATTATGCTCGCTGGTACGATAGAATTAATAATAGGTGGTGTGGTGGTGCACTTAAAGTGATTCATAATTCAAACGAAAATGAGCAAGAATTTATTCACGAATTGAAGAATTATTGTGAAATTGGTTATAAGAACCCTTCGTTCTTGGAATGTTTTGGAGTGTCAAGAAATGAATCTGGTGATTATATTATTGCTATGCATAATGCAGCAAAAGGATCATTACGGCAAAATCTTGTAAAAGTATCACAATTGGAATGGAAAGATAAATTGAATGTTTTATACTATATAGCTTTGGATCTTGAATCGATTCATTCTCAGGAATTCGTTCATAGAGATTTACACAGCGGAAATATTTTGCAAACTTTTACTTTGCATGATGCATATATCACAGATCTTGGACTTTCTAAAAAAGTAAAGGAAGGAAAAATTTGTGGAATTTTGCCATATATACCACCTGAGGTCTTGATGGGTCAACCGTATACTCAAGCATCAGATATTTATAGCCTTGGAGTTATTGCGACGGAGATTTCGACCGGACAAAGAGCATTTGATGGAATTCCGTTTAATGGTGATCTCGTATCAAGAATTATCAATGGATTAAGACCTAAATGTTTAGGACCAGATTTTTATATTAAATTAACTAAGAGATGTATGGATAAAGATATTGATAAACGACCCACTGCAACAGAAATTATTGAAATAATCACGCGCTGGTTAGATGAAATAGACCAGGAAAATGATAATGAAGTCAAAAAACAAATTTCGGAAGCTAATAAGATTAAACCAGAACCAATTAAGCAAATACATACGCAAGACTTATACACCAGCAAGATATACGATACAAATAAATTTTCAGAAAATATTATCAGTACATAGAAATCTCGAGTAAATTCGCAAATTTTGATTTAAATTAAATTATATAAAATATGTGTTTATATAACATGTCTTATTGTATGAAGCTGCAACTATATTAATATTTCCTTCTATAGTACAATATCTAATTCCATTATATTATACAGATAAATAATTTCTTTTCATTTAATCTATATGTTTTAAACTATTTTTATCTTTTTTTTTTTGTGATTTGCTTCTTGGAGGTTAAGAAATAAATTTTGAAATTTTTATTTATATTTAATGGCTAATTTTTTTATACGAACGTCAAATCAAAATTTTCGGCAGATCAAATATAAATTTGTCACTTGATCACCCATCATAGTGTTACCATCGGTCGGGAGAACGATTGCGGATATTAATCCAATTTAGCTCCGATGGTTAACTTGGTTCGGGATTTTATAACACTTGTACACGAAACTCTTAAGCTGAGTCGGGGTATCACTTAACAGATCAACTTTAATTATTCGGGGGGGGTAATTTATTGGGTAACAATAAGAAATGCAAGATAACAATAATAAA